ACGGGGAGCAGGAGGACATAGGGCACAGCAATCAGGGTGGCCCAGGGGACAGGGAGCAGGATGACATAGGCGACAGGGATGAGGGTGGCCCAGGGGACGGGGAGCAGGTTGGCCAAGAGGGATGGGGATCAGGGTCATCACGGGGACAGGGATGAGGATGTCACGGGGGATGAGGGCGTCCCAGAGGATGAGAGTGTCCCAGAGGATGAGGGTGGCCCAGGACAAAGGGATCAGGATGACCAAGGGGACAGGGATGAGGGTGTCCCAGGGGATGGGGATCAGGATTGACATAGGGGACAGGGATGAGAGTGGCCCAGGGGATGAGGGTGTCCCAGGGGATGAAGGTGGCCCAGGACAAAGGGATCGGGATGACCAAGGGGACAGAGATCAGGAGTCCCAGGGGACGGGGATCAGTGTGTCTCAGGGGATGCGGATGAAGCTGACCCAGGGGCCAGGGTTCAAGGTAGCCCAGGAGCCACTGCCCGTGCCCACAGCCCCCCCTGCCTGTGAAGTCCCCTGCCCAGGACTCACCCTGCAGCTGGGTTATGTTGGCGAGCGCCCGCTCCAGCTCCGAGGCTTTCCCCTCCAGCGCACCCTGAGCACGGGCAGAGGGAAGGGGCTAGAGGCTCCCACTCTCACCAGTCAAACCAGTTCGGGGCTGGGGGCTGCAGCTTTCCCAGCAGGGTCCCGTCCGTCCCGTCCCGCCCCCCCCCGCCCCATCAGCACCCCGGTACCTACCAGTCGCTCCTTGCAGCCGTCCCACTGCCTGCGGTTTTCAGCGAGGGACCGGTTGGTGATGGTCAACACCTCCTCCAGCTGCGCCAGCTCTGCCGAGCTGTTCCCCGCCGCCATGGCGGAGCCCGCGGCCGTTTGGCAGAGCACGGTGAGAAGGACTATCACCAGCACCATGACGGCCACCCCGAGAGCCACGGCCACATACGTCTCCCAAGGTCTCTCGGCTGGATGCTGCCGGTGCGGGCGGCAGCCCTTCATCCTACCCGCGCTGCCCGGGCTGGGTGAAAACCCACGGGACGGGGAGGAAGCTCACCCTTTGCCCCAAAATCGAGCAGTTTCGGTTCTTAAAGAGCGGGACTTTCCGGGAAATCATGTGGTTTGCGAGCGCGTAGCAGCCGGGGAAGTTGAATGACCCCTGGGCTGCCGGATCTCTCGCGGGACTGGTGCTGTGCCCCTGCCCGCACCGGGGCTGGTACAGGCAGGACTCGGGCAAATGCTGTGGGGGACCCTCCCCAGTGCAGGGGGTGATCCCAGCCCCCTCTCCCAGTAAGTAGTGGGGCAGAGCTGGAGGGGGGGGGGCTACGTGCACCTCCAGTGGGCCCAGTGCCCACGGTGGGGAGGGACAATGGGGCAGAGCATCCCCCAGGGCAAGGGGTAATGGGGTGGGATGGACCCGGGGGGGGGGAGCGAAAATGGGCGTGTGGTACCCAGAGCATGGGGTGCCTGGGGTACGGAGAGATAGGGTACGGGGTACTGTGCTGGTTTGGGCTGGGGTTAATTTTGGCTGGGGTTAATTACTGTGCTGGTTTTGGCTGAGTTAATTTTCTCCTTAGGAGCTGGTGCGGGGCTGTTTCGGATCTGTGCTGATAACACGGAGGTGTTTTGGTTACTGCCGGGCTGTTCCCCCGCAACGTCAAGGCCTTTTCTGCTCCTCACCCACCCACTGCCAGCGAGGGCTGAGGGGGCACACGGAGCCGGGAGGGGACACAGCCGGGACAGGCGACCCGTGCTGACCGAAGGGATGTGCCATACCAAGTCACATCATGCTCAGGATATAAAGTCGGGGGAAGAAGGAGAGGGGGGACTTTCGGAGTGATGGTGTTTGTCTTCCCAAGTCACCGTTACACGTGATGGAGCCCGTCTTCCCTGGGGGGTGGCTGGAGACCCTCCTGCCCATGGGGAGCAGTGGGTGAATTCCTTGTTTTGCTTTGCTGGCGCGCGCAGCTTTTGCTTTACTTATTAACCTGCCTTTATCTCAACCTGCGAATTGATAGGATCATGGAACGGTTTGGGTTGGAAGGGCCCTTGAAGATCATCCAGTGCCACCCCCTGCCCTGGGCAGGGCCACCTCCCCCCAGCCCAGGTTGCTCCAAGCCCCGTCCAACCTGGCCTTGAACACCTCCAGGGATGGGGCAGCCACAGCTTCTCGGGGCAACCTGCCCCAGGGGCTCACCACCCCCACAGGAGAGAATTTCTTCCTCATCTCTCATCTGTATTTCCCCTCTTTCACTTTGAAGCCATTCCCCCTCATCCCATCACTCCGTGCCCTTGTAACAAGTCCCTCCCTGGGGTAGAAAGGTTTGGGGTACCTGGGGTAAAAAGGTATGGGGTGCCCGGGGTAGAAAGGTTTGGGGTACCCGGGGTAGTTTTGGGGTACCCGAAGTAGAAAGGTTTGGGGTATCTGAGGTAGAAAGTTTTGGGGTGCCCGGGGTAGAAAGGTTTGGGGTACCTAGGATAGAAAGTTTTGGGGTGCCCGGGGTAGAAAGGTTTGGGGCGCCTGGGGTCGAAAGGTTTGGGGTATCTGAGGTAGAAAGTTTTGGGGTGCCCGGGGTAGAAAGGTTTGGGGCGCCCAGACTAGGGGCTACCTGGGGTATGGCACAGCTGGAGCGTGGGGTAAGCAGATTAGGGGGTCCGCAGGGTATGGGGGTACCCAGGCTGTGGGGTAACCGGGTGTGGGGTCACTGGGGTAGGCGGTACCAGTCTGCGAACCCTTCTCCCCCCTCTCTCCAGCCCCGTTCCGCCCGGCGCAGCCGCGCTGGCTCCGGCTGGGCAAAGGGGCTCTGCCGGGGCCGGGATCCGGCGCTGGCTTCTGGCAAGAGCTTGGCCCCATGATGCCTGCACCGGTCCAGGCCGTCACGGGACGTCCCCATCCAGGACGCTCCTCGGCTGCCGTTTGGGAGGGGTTTTTTGGGGTTTTTTTTGGCCAGAGGAAGAGCTGGCGAGAGGAGGAGGAGGAGGAGGAGGAGGAGGGTTAGAGGGTGGGGAAGGGCTGCGCACCCTCTGCTCCCATCCTTGGGGCGCAGCGTCGCGGTCCAGCCACCGCACAGGCTGGTTTTCGGGAGGCCGGGAGCGGGGCCGAGCCAGCGCCCGCTCTGCTTCTCTTGGGGAGAAATTTGAAACTCTCTTTTTTACATTTTATTTTTTTTTTCCAGGAGTTGTGCTAAAATCCTGTCTTTTTTTTTTTTTTTTTTTTAATGCTTTTCCTGCTGGTGTTTCTCAGCAGGGAAACATCCCCCGAGCAAAGGCGACATCAACCGGTCCATCGTGGCCCCGAAACCCCAAAGCACGTGGGAGGATGGAGAGAGGCACCTTCCCAGGTCGCCTCCCCACCGCTGTGTGGGGCTGGGAGGAGATGGAGGACATGGGGTGCGGGGTACCAGACATAGGATATGGGATGCTGGATGCGGGATACAGGATATGGGATGTAGGGTGTGGGATGCGGGATATGGGGTGCGGGGTACCAGATATAGGATATGGGATGCTGGATGCGGGATACAGGATATGGGATGTAGGGTGTGGGATGCGGGATATGGGGTGCGGGGTACCAGACATAGGATATGGGATGCTGGATGCGGGATACAGGATATGGGATGTAGGGTGTGGGACGTAGGGTGTGGGATGCGGGATATGGGGTGCGGGGTACCAGATATAGGATATGGGATGCTGGATGCGGGATACAGGATATGGGATGTAGGGTGTGGGACGTAGGGTGTGGGATGCGGGATATGGGGTGCGGGGTACCAGATATAGGATATGGGATGCTGGATGCGGGATACAGGATATGGGATGTAGGGTGTGGGACGTAGGGTGTGGGATGCGGGATATGGGTTGCAAGGTACCAGATATAGGATATGGGATGCTGAATGCGGGATACAGGATATGGGATATGGGATGTGGGATGTAGGGTGTGGGATGCGGGATATGGGTTGCGAGGTACCAGATATAGGATATGGGATGCTGGATGTGGGATACAGGATATGGGATGTGGGATATTGGATATGGGATATGGGATGTGGGATGTGGGGTGTGGAATATGGGATGCGGGATGCAGGGTGTGGGATGCAGGACAGGGGTGGCACTCTGCAAATGGGGATGTCACCGCTCTGCGCACCAGAGCTGATCACCAAATAAATCCAAGTCCCCCCGAGGTGGTGCCCGCTGGGACCAGCCCAGGGCGGGTCGGAGCTGGGGAGTTGGGGCACTGGAGAGGTCTTGCACTCCTGGGGCGCTTCCACAGCCGGCTGTCTGCTGGTGCCACCGTCCCTGCCACCGCCACTGCGTGGGGAGCCGAGAGCCCCAGCACAGAGCCCTGGCATGGGCCACCCAACCCCAGGGATGCTCTGGCCGCATCCTGACACGTGGAGACAGCGGCCACCGCCTCACCTTTCCTCCCCCCCCGGCCCCAGCTCCAGAAATAGCTGTTCCACTTGGGGTATTTTTATTCTGCTGCTTCATGTGATATAAAAAGCAATGGCTGCGAAATTAAAAACACACAAAATATTTACCAAACTTCAAGTTTTTTGAGTCAGATTTTCAGCATCTGGAGAATTGAAAGGCTCTGGCAGATTCGGTGAGCTGTCAGCATAAAGGCTTTAAATATGTTGTTATTATTATTTATGGTCTGGAGCCTGAAGAGGAACGAAGGCCAAAGGTTTCAAAAATAGCTTGAAAAACGGGAATGGATGTTTTTTCCAGAACCAGCTCGCTTTGAACAGCGAGATATTGAGATGCAACTCTTAAAAAAAAAATATATCTAAAAAGCAACTGGGAGAGGAATGTGCATCATCGAGGGCTGCCCCGAAGCTGCCCCAGCGCAGCGCAGCTCGCCCGTCCCCGTGGCATCCCGGCTCGGGCTCGCTTCGGGAAGCAAGTGTTAGTGCTCCGGGCAGCCCCTCTCCCCTTTCCCACTGTTTTCCCCCAAAATCTCGGCTTCCAACGGCCTCTTTCCCAGGGGACACGCAGTGACAGCGCCCGGTGACCCCACTTTAGGAGGGGTTGGGGGGGGTGTCTCTCGCCTCTGGCTTGTCCGAGTCCGAGGACTGTTTGTTTTCCTCCTCCGGCAGGTTGTCCGGAGGGAGCGCCGGGAGCGGAGCAGCGTCTCTTGGCCAGACGGCCTGGAATTCGGCAGCTGGATCCGACCCGGCCTCACCATCGTGGCAGAGACAGGGACCTGGCACTTCCCGTGTCCCCCTGGGGCCAGGAGCCCGGAGATGCTCCGGATGCCCGGGGATGCCCCATTTGGGGGTCCCTGGGGATGCTCCGGTTTGGGGTCCCCAGGGATGCTCCAGTTTGGGGTCCCTGGGGATGCTTTGGCTGCCTGAGGATGCTCTGGTTTGGGGGTCCCTGGGGATGCTCCAGTTTGGGGTCCCTGGGGATGCTTTGGCTGCCTGAGGATGCTCTGATTTGGGGGTCCCTAGGGATGCTCCGGTTTGGGGTCCCCTGGGGATGCTCCAGTTCAGGGCAGGACATGGAGGAGCTGCCTCCGCACCGCCCTGGGCAGGATGCGGCCCGTGAAGCAGTGGTGCCGGGTGTGGTGTGAAGCAGCAAAGCCAGTGACGAGGGGGAATATTTTTGGGCTGCCAGGGGGGCCACGGCCAGCACATGGGGGCAGCTCCTGCCGCGACGGCAATGCTCCGAGCCCCGCTCAGCCCTCACCCCATAGCTTGGCCGTGGGGAGGTGGTGGGGGGCAGTGCAGGCCCCCCCATCCCAGCCCCTCGGGGAGGTGGGGGGCTGAGAGGAGGGTCCCAGGCGGGAGCAGCGATGCTTTTCCCTTTCATCCCTTGCCTGTGCCTGTTCCCTTTCAGCCTGAAACGTGGGTTTCTCTCCTATTTTGGGTTGGCTTTTCGGCTGGCTTCTTTTATTATTTTAATTTAGGCACTGTCATTATATTTTCCATTATTTAAAAGAAAAAAAAAAAGAAAAAGAAAAAGAAAGAAGGCGAGCAGCTTCCCAAGGCCCTTTCCAGCTCCCGGCTGCTGTTCAGAGCAGCTTTTGTTCCCGGCCAGCGATGGGACGTGCTTGTGGGGTTCAGCGCGGTGGCACCCCCTTCCCGCAGCCTGTGTCCTGGTTCCCTCCTCCCCACGGGGCTGGGGTGGGGGTGGGTTTTGGGGTGCTGGGATACTGAGATGGGGGGAAACATGTGCAAACAGCAGCCGTCCAAACAGGAAGTTTGGTATTTTTACTGGCGGATTTTGCAAAAATGGCAAAAGCTGGTTTGAGGCTGAAGTCAAGAAAAAAGCCCTGAGCCCAAACTTTTATGGGGCGGTGAAAGGGGTTCCAGGAGAGAGCGAGAACAAGGCCCAACTTGCTGTGCTGGCCCCTTTGGTTTGGGAGCTAGGGCTGGACGTTCGGTATTTTTAGTCGCGGATTTTGCCAAAATGGCAAAAGGTGGTTTTGAGGCTGAAGTCAAGAGGAAAGCCCTGAGCCCAAACGTTTATGGGGCGATGAAAGGGGTTCCAGGAGAGAGCGAGAACAAGGCCCAACTTGCTGTGCTGGCCCCTTTGGTTTGGGAGATAGGGCTGGACGTTCGGTATTTTTACTGGCGGATTTTGCAAAAATGGCAAAAGGTGGTTTTGAGGCTGAAGTCAAGAGGAAAGCCCTGAGCCCAAACGTTTATGGGGCGATGAAAGCGGTTCCAGGAGAGAGCGAGAACAAGGCCCAACTTGCTGTGCTGGCCCCTTTGGTTTGGGAGCTAGGGCTGGACCTTCGATATTTTTAGTCGCGGAATTTGCAAAAATGGCAAAAGGTGGTTTTGAGGCTGAAGTCAAGAGGAAAGCCCTGAGCCCAAACGTTTATGGGGCGATGAAAGGGGTTCCAGGAGAGAGCGAGAACAAGGCCCAACTTGCTGTGCTGGCCCCTTTGGTTTGGGAGCTAGGGCTGGACGTTCGATTATTTTTAGTCGCGAAATTTGCAAAAATGGCAAAAGGTGGTTTTGAGGCTGAAGTCAAGAGGAAAGCCCTGAGCCCAAACGTTTATGGGGCGATGAAAGGGGTTCCAGGAGAGAGCGAGAACAAGGCCCAACTTGCTGTGCTGGCCCCTTTGGTTTGGGAGCTAGGGCTGGACGTTCGGTATTTTTACTGGCGGAATTTGCAAAAATG